AATCAGATGTTAATGGACTGCAAAGAAAGGCTCGTCTGGCAGAACGCCGATGATAGGTTTGTAGTGGAAGATGTGTGGAAAAAATTAAGGAGAACTTGCATGCATTGCAAGATGAGTTCGCGCCTCTGAAACTGCGGAAGTGATTCGGTAAACCAATTTGGTGGAAGGCTTCCTTTGGAAACGTAGTACGTCGTCTTAGCGGCAGCTGGAAACGATACTGGGAGGTAGGATCGCAGCTGTCGTGGATGCGTTACGTAGAACACAGAAACGATACTGTTCGCGTTGTTAGAGGCGAAAAGCAAAAATACGAGATAAATCTAGCTAAACATTCGAAGGCGAAGCCCAAGAGGTATTATAGTAATGTGCAGTCCAAGAGAGCGTTTAGGGATGAATTAGGCGCCATTAATCTTAAGGGCAATTAAATAGTCGCAACTGACCAGGAGAAGGCCATAGTACTAGGGAGATAATTTGGAAGTGTGCTCAGGGAGGATAGAGGATGGGTCATCCCGTCTGGAGGGGTCAACAAATCCAGACTATAGAGGACCTAGTTGGACACCAGAGGATGTGCTCAGCATTCTGTCGAAACTCAACGTAAACAAAGCACCTGGGCCAGACGGGATTCGTTCTGCCATTCTTAAACCACGAGCTTGCCACTCTTGCTACACCCGTGAGCCTGCTCTTCCAAGTGTCTCTAGCAGACGGAGTTTTGCCTAGTGACTGGAAGACAACTACTGTGGTAGCACTTCACAAAGGTGGGCAGACGTCCGACATAAAAGACTGTAGACCAGTAGGCCTAACCAGCATCTTCTGCAGGTGCATAGAGAAGCTTATAAGGGAGCATGTATGTAAACATCTACCGCATTATACCCTACTAAGTGGGCGCAGCACGGATTCTCAAATCACAGGTCCTATCTCACTAGCCTTCTGTGCTACCTGGATGAAGTCACAAAAAGTTTAGATAAGGGCCACACCATTGAGAATTGCTACCTCAATTTAAGCAGTTTTCGATTGTGTGAGCCACAGATTGCTCCTTCACAAAATCAAAAGCCTCGGGGCAGCAAGGAAATCTGCATACGTTGTTAACCGCTTTCCTCATAAATAGAACCTTTGCAGTGAAAGTAGGGGAGGCCAGTTCTCAGGTCACTATGACTTTGATGTCTTACTCCTCCATCGGTGATCCCGGATTGGTTGCTTCCAATGCCTCCAGTCACCGTGGAAATTCAGGATGTGCAGCGCGATTTGACCGGGCTCAATAGGTTCAAGGCGGCGGGGTCCGTCGGATTTCACCCAGCGATTGTACACCCGCTGACGGACGTCATATTTGGACCGATCTCCGAGTTATTTAGAGAGTCGCTTAGACTAGAAACTGTCCCGAACAACTGACGCAAAGTCACAGTAGTGGCAATACATAAGTCTGGATGCCGGCAGAAAGAAGAGAATTACAAACCTGTAAGTTTGACCTCAGTAATATTTAAGTGTATTTCTGGTATTTCTTAACGAGGTCATACGTAGAATGGATGGAGACCGACCGGTGGAGGCATGCTATCTGGACTTCCAAGAAGCATTCGAATCGGTCAGCCGCCATCTGTTAAATCATGAGATGCAATAATAATAATAATAATAAGTGTATATTTCACGGAGCCCCGTGAGGCATGCATAGGCATGATCAAATGTACAACATAATCCTCCGTACAGGAGAGGCCCAAAAGGGAAAAAATTGAAGGTCGCAGTGAACATAATTACAA